GTGTGTCAGTGATAGGAAGCGAGTCAGTCCTACTGGTCATAGCGTGTCAGTGATAGCCAGCGAGTCAGTCCTACTGGTCATAGCGTGTCAGTGATAGCCAGCGAGTCAGTCCTGCAGTAGCTTCCTGTAGGCTTCCATAGTGTGCTTTTGGAATCTGGATGTATCTATGTGTACATACATTTCAGTATAACGGCAGAGTGGTAGTTTCTTTAATAGCAGATGGCTGTTATTCTCATCACTCACAAACCAAGTAGCAAAGATGCTGTGTGAGGAGAGCAGACGTTCTACTGGGAACCACAGCCAATTCTAGACCCTATTTAGGGGGCAGATTTTATCATTAAGGACCTTGGGGGGGGGGGGCGGATGATGTTCTGTATTTCCATATTTCTTCAAATTGAAATTAGCAACCCCCCCCAAGGGTCAAAACCTAGAGTCATCCCTCAAGAGAACGTTTCTAAAACGCTGGAATGTTCTTAGCCTGCTTAGACTGCTGCCCCCGCGACCCAAACCAGAATATGTGGCAGAGGATGGATGGATGGATGGATGGATGGAATGTTCTTATTACACTGGAATATTCTTAAAACCTTGCTATGTTCTTGAATTGAGGAAATGTTCTCAACATGCCAGAAAGTTCCCAAATCACTGGCATGTTCTCAAAACACTGGAATGTTCTTAAAGCAGTCAAACTAGCATTACAGATATAGTCGCTTGTCTGATGGAGGTCTAAACCTGATCTCCAATGACTGTCAAGGAAGAGTCTGAAATTCTGTTTTTTTTCATTCCTTCTCTGTTTCTGTTTGAATATACTCTGGCCAGGCCTCCCAAATACGGGAAATAGTTCTTATGACATTATATCCGTTTTTCAAATGAATACATACTATCCTCAAAGCACTAAGCAATAACAATCAAACAGCCAGCATTCCTCAAAATTAACTTTTTGTACCAAAATGAAACAACTGGTGTTATTACTACTAGTAACAGTGATATAATAATAATTTATTAATAGTTTAATGCAGTTCTTTATCACTAGCTTGCAACATGATGAAGGGCTTTCTGTTCTGTTTCCAGGGTTTGACGAGATTCTCACGGTCACCCAGGCCGACTCACGTAAGTAGAGTCACGCCTCACCATTTCATAATTACTGTTTATGGTCTTTGCAGAAGTTTCATTGGCATGATGATATCATAAGGAAACACTTCCTGATCCGGTCCTCCGGTACCCACAGCCGGTCCATGTTTTTGCCCCCTCTGAGCTTCCCTGCCAGACAGACCACATTTTTTATTACAGAGTATATGGGGTCACTTGGGTCTTTGACAATGCAAACTTTGTTGGTGCTGGAACAAAACTGATGGCCAGGCCCAGAATTATCAGGAATGCAAATCTTTTTCAGCATCTTTGGGTCATCAGTTTTTGAGAGGTAGTCGGTAGCCACTGGCCACACGCACATGCTACAGCTGAAAGTAACATCTAAATCAAAAAGTGAGATCGAAATCTGGCCTGCTTCTGCAACTGTGCAAAAAAGGAGAATATAGATGGATTGAATTATTTAAATTAAGTAAAAATGGGATAAAAACAAAAGATGAATAAAAGGCTATGGAAAAAAAAATGCTATTCAAGTGTAAAAAAACCATGCATTATACAGGGCAGATGGTGCTCTGAGGGAGAGAGATGATTATTACACCACAGCTCAAGTCTGATTATCTTCTTCAGAATGCTTTGGATAACAGCACCTCCTCACAGAGCAAGCTGGCCTTCGAAGGGGAGGCGGATGAGGAGTGCGAGGAGTACTTCCGCTCGTCGCCCTGCAGCCGGCCGCGCAGCAGACTCACGCTGCCCCACATGGGCGCCCCCCCCCGGCACGGCTCGCTGAGCCACCTTCTGGGCGAGGAGCTCCGGCAGCTGGGCTCCCGCAGCCACTGCCCCTCGCCCTCCCGCAGCCGGCGGGGTCACAGCCCCACCCCCAGCAGGGAGGAGCCGTCCCCCCCACCCACTTCCAAAGCAGAGGCGGGATCCAGCAACAAACCTGCCAAGCTGCTCATCCCCTCCCTCAACTGCTTCGGCCCCCCCGACCTCAGCCCCAGGTGCATAGCCAATGAGCATTTGAACTTTGAACTTTGACCTCTGTGTAATTGGTTCAATGAAGTCAATAAAATAATTGAATCCTATTTAAATCAATTAATGACCTCTTAATGGGGCAGCACGCTTGGCACAGTGGTCAGGACTGTTACCTCACAGTTACCTCACAGTTACCTCACAGTTACCTCACAGTTACCTCACGTGGTGTGTGAGTGCGTGGTGTGTGAGTGCGTGGTGTGTGAGTGTGCCCTGCGATGGGTTGGCACCCAATCCTGGGTTGTTCCCTGCCTCCTCATGACCCGCAATAGGACAAACGGTTACAGAAAACGGATAGATGGATTTTCTTCATTTATTTAAATTATTTTTCTCCATCTCAGGTGTTTGCAGCTTTAAATAAATCTGCAAAAACCTTAATGTACCCAAGCAGGTTTTTCGCTGGCTTCTCCATTTCACAACAATTATACCTGAACCATTCCATTTGAATAACTGCACGCCGGAATCAAAGACACAGGCAGATTAATGAAGACTTAAACCAAGCCTTTGTGTGTAATTGGGATGGGGGATCTCACGGCCATTTGCTTTGCCTCCGTCTTGCTCTAGGGTCGTGGATGGGATCGAAGACAATGGGCAGACGTTTCACTTTAACGTAGAAGAAAGCGGCACTAAGACCAGCACCAACAGCCTCTCCAAAGGTACAAAGACCATTATGACCCTTGGCATGGTTTTAATGTGAAGCCATAGACAATCATCATCCCTTATGTGTAAAATGACTGAATTGCCAGTGTTTGTTCGTTTAAAGACTTCACATTTTGCAACTTTTACAAGCTTTTTGTGAAGCGTTTGCATAAAAACGTTGCAGTGTGCAATGAGTCGAAGCATGTATTAAATCTGTAATGTAAATATTTATTCAATGGATAAAATATGCTCGATGTTGACGTTTTAAATGAGAAAATTACAAACTCTTTTTGCAGCCTGGCTGCTGTAATATCACCAGCATCCAGCAACCAGTAATAATATGAAGCAGGAAGAGGTTGTAGAAATAGCAAGTAGTTCACTATTCTGCTCTCTGGCTTTGCTATCATAGATTCCAACCAGGCTAATGCTAACTTTGCTATCATAGATTCCAACCNGGCTAATGCTAACTTTGCTATCATAGATTCCAACCAGGCTAATGCTAACTTTGCTATCATAGATTCCAACCAGGCTAATGCTAACCTCCTTCTGGAGACAGAGGAAGTGAGGCACAGCATTAACCAGCTCAACACAGAGGTATGTCATTCTTACTGTATTTGCAGCTGCAGGGACTTGTTAATGAGTCAAGCTGAGGCAGATTAGCTGTCAGTGTCACTGGTTCAAGATCTTGATCAAATTTCATTATCTGAAGGATAATGAAACGATAACCTGCATGAAGAGTGTTATTATTAATTTCCATAATGTAAAAATCCTCCTTGAAATGTATAGTACAGCCTCTCACCAGGTTACAATAGGATTATGTGCCAACTACCCTGTCCTAAGGCAAAAATGCATTTTAATACAGTACACTTAACCTAAGAAACATCATAGCCTAGCCTATAGCGTACATTAAACATGCTTAGAACACTTACATTAACCTACAGTTGGGCAAAATCATTAACACAAAGCGTAATTTATGAAAAAGTGTTGAATATCTCATGTAATTCATTGAATAATGTACTGAAAGAGAAATACATTTACGCATCGTAAAACTGAAGTATCGTAACATGCACCATCGTAACCAGGGGAGCGTCTGTATTTTCCCTGGAATTTCAGCTATGTCTAGTGACCGAAACTTAAGTAATGTTTTAAAGGTGCTGGCTGTGAGAGTCATTTTTGATAAAAGCTACTTCACAACAGAAGATCTTCTGCCAATTAATTGTTCTTCAAATTCTGCTTCAGATGAGCCTTTTAAGCCAAGAGGTCTCTCACATATCCACGGAGCTCCACCACATGATGCACCTCCTTCAGACCCGCGTTGCCGTGCAGCACTTCACCTCCACCCTCTCCGCCTACCCCTACGGCCTGCACGTCGTCTCGAATTCCGCCAGTGGCGGTACCGTGGCCGCTGCTGATTGGCCCACGCGGTTATCCTGCAACGTGGCAGCGGGCCTGCAAGCCCATCACGATCATGTGACTCGGGATCCCATGGGGCACACTAGCGGGGGCACCGGGGGCTGGGGTATGAACAGCTCCCGAGCTCGAGCAGCTACCATGGGACAGTCGGTAGACGTCAACCTTCCCAAACGGTCGCTAAGCCCCAGATCCACCTGTTTCCAAGCGTCTTGCTACCGGGACCAGGCAAGGGCAGCTGGACAAGGAGCAGAGAGCCAGCAGAGATCCTGCTCAGCCTTCAAGAGCACCCCAAACTCCCCATTCATGACTCCTCATCGGCGCCACACTGGCTCCTCATTGCTCAACTGTAGCCACACCTCCCAAGGGTTTGTACCACTACCTCCTCAGCAAGCACATGGAGAGCAAAGTCCTTCTCAAACCAATATCCATCCATCATGCTCAAATGACACCCTCAGTCAGCCTCTGTCTAGGCATAGTCAGCAAGTTGTTGCAAGCTCTGAATGCAAACACCCCCAATCCAACTCTCCAGTGTCCATCCAGTCACTGTTGGTGACCCCGAGTGGATATGCACCCCTCCACACATCTGTTAAACCCCTTGGACATTCAGGTTCATACTCCTCAAACTCGCCCCAGCATAATCTCACCTGCCTCTCCACCATGCCAAGGCAGAACGACCTTCTTGGCTCAAGCCCCAGCGACCTCCTAGACACTGACCTTCTGGACATTCATTGCACCTCATTTCCGACACCAACCCTTTACCATAAAACACCACTGGCTGCCTCTCAGGATTTTAGTCTCCCAGGAATGGACGGCCGTGATGCTGGCCAGGCCCTGGGCAACTGCACTGGAGAAGAGCACGTTCACCTTCAGTGCTTTCAGGATGGACCCACACCAGAGGGACAGGTTAGCGAGGCCCTGGAGTCCAGGAGGTCCAGCATGGGCACCCAAACAGCAGACGGAGAACCGTTCTGGGGTTAAAAAGGGGCTCCATCTTGAGATATGGAGCAGAGGAGTTCATATGAATGGACAAATGAACTAAAAGTGTTTGTCTTCTCTTTAAGATCCCTCTATTATGTACATTCCACTATTTATATTACCTTTCTCAGCCTTAGTAACCAATGGATGAGAAACCTTCTCTTCAAAGCACAGAATTTCTTACCTCCAGTTCTTTAACACATGTTAGTAATCCTGCATCTGTTAGACACCTATCAGATTTACTCATAAGGTCCTAAATTAGCTGTCACGATCCGCAATGTTGACAGTTCTGCGGGTTGAATTTTTCAATATTTCATGGCCATTTCTGCTCTGACTCAATGAATTATTCTGACAATCACGCCTTAGTGAGGGACTTCACCTTAAAAGTCACCTGAGGTCAGAAACCTTAAGTGAGCGGTGGTGAAATCTGGCACGCAAAGCAAAAAAAATAAAAAAAGTTGTGATTTTAGCTCAGGTGACCAAAGAAAAACCTGTTTTTAACATATTTTTAAAGAAAAACAAGACGAATAATGTTTACATTTAAATGTGCTTGACAGGTACTGGTTTGTTGTTTTGTTTATTTATATTTAGATATTCTAATATTGCTTGTCATGATCATTAGTATAACAAGCAATCATGTGCTTTATTATTCTAGGATGTTCACAATCCGTTCCAGCTTTCCCAAATCTTGCAAATAACAAAAACTGAAACGGTGATATTGTATAACTTGCACACTGCTTCTTGTCAGAATTGGCCAGTGTGACTATAACAATCTCCAAGCTCTAGCAATTTCTGCCCCAAGGCCTTTTTTCATCCGACAGGCTGTATTTTACACCCCGCGTGAATTTCATGCTGAACTGACAATGGCCATTAACTTTCACAAAACACCTATGCACTCTGGAACCATAAAATCGGCCTCCGCTCTTATGTGTGAGTAATAAACCCTTTTAAATTGTATTTTTTTTGAGGGGGGCCGATAAAAGGTAGATATGGATTGATCTTCTTGTGAGTGGGGTCAGAGTGCACAGTGGGGTCAGAGTAGACAGTGGCGTCAGAGTGCACAGTGGGGTCAGAGTAGACAGTGGGGTCAGAGTGCACAGTGGGGTCAGAGTGCACAGTGGGGTCAGAGT